AGCATGCTCCATGCTCTTCAGAAAGGGTTATTCAGCACTCCCACACTTAGCAGAGGCTAAAATAAGTAAAACTTTGCTCCCAATGGAATTAAGTTACATATATCCCCAAACTGACCTTATATTGAGCACTATGGCTGTTGGTAGCTTTCGATAGAGAGAGCCTGGCAGAGTTCTGTGGAGAGCACTGTCAAGTCCTCTCAGGTGAACAGAAGTCACTGATGGGGCACCTTTAAGGAAGCAGCTTTACAGGTAAATATTATCTATGTGGACTCCAGATAGAATTTCCATGTTGTTATGCAGATACATAAAATCATTTCACACACAGAGCTATGAGAGAACATGCACTGATTTTATGAAGCAAGCTATAAAGCCAAGCACTAACAACGCCAGTGTGCTCAATTAACAAACTGTTACTAGTTAAAAAACTGACCCAGCCGAGGACACTGTGAGGCCTCATCACTGCATAGTGGCACTGTGCAAGTCTCCCCTTGATTGTAAGCAGAAATGCACAATGGGTGGCTTCTCTTGTATCTGTCTCTGCAGCTAATGCTTAACAGTAGACAGAATTTAAAAAATCTTGTTCTTCCTCCACAACCATAGTAAAAATATTCAAGCTTAACGCAGAGTTAAGACATGATTTTTTTCTATTCCCCACTACAGGAAATTAGTGATACATAATTCATCAAAACTCAAATATCTTTGCCCAGGCTCCATTAAGTACATTTAATAGAAAGTACAGTTATTACCAAATCTCAACCCTGAAGCTCTCACTCTGCTCCTTGGAAAAAAACTGAAAGCCTACTACCTTGGTCTGATTTAAGGGTTTTGATAACCCTTCTACAAGAATCGAGATTCAAATTTTGGCTTGGATCCTACTAACTTGAGAGTTAGGTGACCTCCTCCTGGTCCTTTCTTGTAATACGAAAGTAGGAAATTATCACTTCACTGGGAACTCCAGAAAGAATTTGGACAAAACAGCATGTGTCTGTTCGCGAAGCTCAGGATGCACTGGGACGGCAGATCCAGACAGAAAGTTCACATCGCACCTGTCCACACCACATTCAGCTTTATTATGCCCAGAGTCATGAACAGCAAAGCCAGCAAGCATACAAAAATCTGAATGCACAAAGAAGCCAAATACTATTGAACAAATCCCACTTGATGCTAATTAACATTAAGGCTGGCCAGAACCTGCTGTGATTCAAACTTGCACTCTCTGCTCAAGCAGAACTTCAAAGAAGCCTGGCAGAACCAGTGACTGAACCACAGGTGCAGGAAAAGCTGGCTAGATCTGTGAACTGCTTTCATATCATGTGGTGATGGAGAACAGTCCACATCAGAGCATGATAGCTGGGGATGGTAGCCACCCAGCTAATCAGACAATGATCTCTCATGCCTTTTGCTTGTTTTATGAAAAAGAGGTTCTGCCAATTGGTTTCAGATCAAAATTCTTCCTAATCGGGAAAGAAAAAAAATTTATATAAAATGATGCTCAGTAGGAGTTAATCAGAAACACAGTCCTCCTGAAGGCACAAGCCTTTTTGGTTAAGCAAAAAGTTGCCACCAGCTAATGTGCAAGACAGGAATGATTAGCCATCTGGTGAAGGTTCCTGCTAAGCTTGCCATGTTCCCTATGCTGAGGAAAGCAGAAGGTGGATCAGTTACAGTCTGTCCTTGCCTGCAATTGTGTGGTCATCCTCAGGAACAAGACACAAAGCTTTCCAACACAACCAGGAATTGTAACTGTTCTGACTTTTTAGCAGCCCATTTTTTTTTAACCACTGTATCCCAGCTAAATTATTTAGAATAAAAATTTTCTATTGCCTTTCTGAAAGCTGAATTTATCCTCAAGCTTTATCAACCTTTGTTATTTTTTGCCCCTTTGTTTGCTTCTGCAAAAATTGCAACTGCCAGGAGGCTTCCCAGTCATCTAAAGAGCATCAGTAAACAAGAGTAGACAGATGGCTGCAGGCTCAGTTTAAACCAGCACAAGATCAAGCCTCTCCCCTGCACTGCAAGTACTACCTATAAGATACAAACATATGCATCAAACCGAACAAGAATGCAGTAGTCCCAGATAGAAAACAAGTAGGTATATACAATCTGATAAGGAAGAAGTCAGTGTGAGGCCAGGGTGCTGAGGTTTCATGTACAGCAAACATTCATTAAAACCACACAGCCTTCCAATAATACAACAACGGGATGTAAGCATGGCAGGGGGGCAGGGAAGAGTTCTCCCTCCATTGTTGCTCCCAAAAGTATTGCTGGCAAAAAACAACCAGCAGAGAAAGTAAAACAAGCACCTCCTTCCAGCAAAGTTACTCTTCTGAGAACTAATGCACCGAACTCACACAACCTGAGAAAGTGACAACGTCTCTGACAGGCCTCTCAATTCACCTACTACTTCAGGAATTCAGTCACATTGACAAGTAACCTGTTAACCCCTTATTAAAATGACAGATTCAAAAGAGACAAAGAAAACCCACAAGATAACCCACAGAATTAGAATGATATAATTCTACCAAAACAATCATACAGGGTGTTTTTTTCATTCCTAGATTTGACTATTTACTGCATAGAAGACTACTGGTGTTAGCACAAGACACTATTTACATTATGTGCCTTGCCTTGCTAAATAGATTCAGATGTCCACATACATTCAATAAATCTATCTGAATCAACATAGTTCACCGTGTGCCTCTTCCACCAACTATAAATCCACTGCAATTCCACAGACACACCTGCATGCCTGAATGGCTTACATAAGAACGGGTTCAAACACTGCCTGTTCTTCCCCAAACAAAAATTTTGACTCTGCTGAAATTACATTAACAGCCCTCCCTCAGGGCTTCCTGATATTCCAAGTTCTTCCTTCACTTCTTCATAGCAGAAAGCTTCAAGAACCGGGTTGCACAATCATCACCTCCAATCATCTCTAACTGAAGCATGATACAAGACAGAATGAGAAACTAGCACGCCGATTAATACAGACAGGAAAAAACAAGACTGTGGGAGCAGCATCGTTACTGGTAAAGCTCCAGCAGAAGCCTCGGGTTGTAGCATGTTGGCACACCACCACCTCTGAGGCAGAGTTTAACTACTCAGTGCAAGAAGACAAGGGCGGGAAGGATCTGGTGGTGAACACTGAACAGTTCTGGCCTCTTTGTACCTCAGCATTCACACTGAAACTTTAAGAACTGATTAACATGGGACTCCGTTGATCCTCTCAAGGGAAGCCTGAACCAATCATTCTGGGAATCAAATTTGTATTCTTAAAATGCAGTCTGACACATACTTCTGCAGGACCTTCCCAAAACAGGACAGCTACAAAATAACCACAGACTTCTCACATTAGATCACTGCCCCCTTCCAGCAAATCACCCAGGGTCACCTAGAAAACCTCTCCCATTCATTTCCATGATGCTATTTCCTGCTCCATACATTTAAAAAAACTAAACAAAAAGCTGGTACACACCTGTATCCCCATGGAAGCAGCTGTCCTGGTGACATCTCCCAGAAGGCAACTCTCCATCACTTGGCCAGATCTGTCCTGTTTTTCGTACACCCACAATAGTAGCCTCAGACACGATGACCTGCTGCTGCCTGTGCCGTTTTTGAGACTGGGGAGTTGGTGGACTGCTGCTGTCAAAGGACTGCTGAGAGTTCTGGGAAGGAGAACGGCTTTTATCCCGATACATGCGGTAAGTAGTAGGGCTGGGGGACACATGGCTGGACTGCCCTGAAGAGAAGTCTTCCTCACTGGAGGTAAGGTTCTCATTAGAGCTACAATCAGGAGTGTATCCTCCTCCAATATCTTCAAAACTCCTGGGGGAATAAGACCTCCTGGGCCACGTGAGATGTTTTTCCTGGTCAGTCATGCCCTGATTTCGCAGAATAGGTCCTTTCCCTTCTCCTTCTCCCATCATGCCACCAACATAGATACTTTGATAGGGCTGAAAGTCCATGGGCTGCCAAGGTGAGCGGTTGCTGCCATTGGCATTGATCAGGTTATCTTTGAGAAACCTGGGGTTCAGTTCAGCATCCTCATATTCTCCATCATAGCCAAAGCTGCTCTCCGAGGACCTTCCCCTGTAAGCAGGCCTCTGGAACTCGCTGAAGCTGGGTACCATGTTAGAAGGGAGGGAGTGCAAAGACTTTTTGCGTTCCATTTGCATGGCTTGGCTACCAAGGGAGCTTATTTTATCAGAAACATCTTTATCGTTGACCTTCACTAGACCCTTTTCATGATGATACTCCATGTTCACATAAAAGGGCTTTTCAACAACATCCTTGTTATCTCCAGAAGAATGTGAATTAACCTTTTTAATCCTCTCAAAATTGGACCTTAGGGCTGCCACACTGGTGCTGTTCCCTCTCTCCTTAGAAACAGGTTCAAACAATCCCTCCTTCTCAGCAGATCCCACTAGTCTGCGAGTGGAAGCCGACCGGTGCTTTGAAGGAGAGCCATCTGTATCACAGCGATTCTCCATATCTTCTGCAACTCTCTTCAGTTTCTCTTCACCATAGTGCTTACACCTGTCCTGCTCTCCCTCTCCGTGATGGGGGCTGTCCAAAGGCGACAGGTCTGACGCATCGCTCTGGGTAGACAGCTTCCGCAGAGGGGGTATCCTGGGTTTGAACTTTTCCTCCCCGTGGTGCAACTTGTTTTTTTCATATTCATCTTGGTCAGCAGACTGGTGATGATGCAGGTCTGGGATCTGCTGCTCTGCACCCCCTTCAGGCAACTGAGAAACACGTTTAAAACCCCATCGCTGTCTGTCATAGCTTTTTTTCTCCTTTGCCAGAAGAGTCTGCAGGTAAATCATGCGGAACCTCTCCTTGTTGACCTCCATCTCCAGTCTCCGAATAGATGCTTTGCACATCTCCAGCTCCTGTTCAATGTCTCCCACAGATTTCAGCTCCATTTTAGGAGGCTCAGAGTCTGCAAATTGTGCTTTCCAAGCCTCCACAAACCCCACAGGGTCCACCATTTTGCATACAGGAGTAAGTGGAGAGTATGGGAAGGAGGCTGGAGAGAGAGAGAGGTGGAGAGAATAAACCAACCGGATCTCACATGTAGCAGCAGACACAGCGCCGGCAGGGCCAACTCAGCGCGCCCCTTTCGCGGTCCACGCAGGGAAACCGGAGGCAAACGGCAATCCTGGGAGCAGCCTCTCCTCCCCGTCCCCTTCAGCCCCCCGGGCGCTCGCTACTCCCTCCCCGGCATGACTGATCTTTTGCTAGCGAAAAACAACGCTCCCACCACGGCGAGCCCAGAGCACTTCCACGCGGGTGGACAAAGGAGCAGGCTCGGGGCGGGGAAAGGAGGAGGAAGGAAGGTGAATGACTGGTAGTACTTCAAATTGATTCCTGTTTAATTTTTATTTAGTTCAATATTAATTCTCAACAACAGGGTTCTTAATGCAGAATTTTGCCTGGCTTCCAGGTGGTATCTGGATCTAGCAGGGTGGTAGAAACTGTGACTGCAATGAAGATGGCCACACATTTGTCTCTAACTCATATTCTCCGGGATTAATTCTCTTCTCAACCCAGGACAAATCAGAAATAATTTCGTTTCCATTAATACATTTCCCAGCTGTGTGAATCTGTTGGAAAAGCACGGCCCTTCAAGTCCTCTGTCCCCTGCTAAAGAGAAGACATTACACGCGCCACAGCATTACTGAGAATAGGAAATGTGAGATCATGAGATCAAAGTGTTGGAGCTTTGTGTTTGCTCCAGGCCCGGACATCGCCACAGACAGGCAGCAATGGGCCCAAGCCTGGGCAAGAACACATCCTACACCTAGCCCTGTGTGCACAGGGAGGTATCCATTCTTGTCCATACATCCACACCCTCATATATTATGTAGGAACACCAGCACGTCTCTGCCCTGAGCAGTGCTCTGCCCCCAGGCACTGATGCAGCTCACCTTCATAGGTCACGTTTCCCCCCACTAATGTAAGTGCTGTTGAGGAGCAGGCTTGTCATTCACTCAATCCTTCCTTCCTTCTCAGTAAATGACAAGCCGGATTTCCAAGATGGGCAATTGGTGCTCCAGAAGCGCTGTGACATTAACCGCCAAGGCTGCTTTGTTCAGGCGTTAGTCTCACTTTTGTCCTGTGTATTGTCCTAGCCCCAACAACTCAGAGTCCCACTCCTCAGCTCTGGGTGAAGGGTGGCAAACGATTTAAACAAAAGTCTGGCTGCTGAGTATTACCCCTCCTCAAATCACAGTACATGATTTTCCTTAAGCCTTGTATCCTTCCCATGTACTAATTAAACTCTGAAAAAGTGTTAACAAATATACCCAAAGTTCTATCTTGTGTGTTTGGATGACAGGAAAAATTGAGATATGTACCCCTCATATCCCCCACAAACTTGCTTCTTTCATGTCTGTGGCGAGGTATATCTTTTCTGGTACCTGTTACTAGAAAAGAGGGTGGGATATAGCCTCAAAAAGAATTAATAAAATCCCGTAAAAATAAACAGCACAAGTCCACAGGAGTACCACTCTTACCTTAGAGATATGCAGTGTTTCATAATGCATTGAACAGTTTTTCTCTTCATGCTTTTTTGTATGCCAAACAAAATATTTTCAGGTACTTTCAGACACATCACAAATGGCTAACCATGTATTCAATTTTGCATAGTTCATCCCTCTTGGTTTTTGTTTCCTGGCTTTAACCTCTTTTCCTGCACTTGTTTCCTCAGCTTTTAACACATAACAGGCATTGTCTGGAAAACAGATTTTAATCTAAATCTTAATAAAATCTTTAAATCTTTCAAAGAATCTCAATCTTTCACAGAAATAAAAAATTTGCTTTTCACCATTGGTACTGTTATTCGTTTGCCTTAGTGCCAGTTTGAACAATGAGATTCTGAGATGCAATGTATTTCTAGTAATATGAAGTTTAAGACTGTACTGGCGTGCTTATAATAATGACAAGTATGTTACATCATGGCGTTACATTCTGAATTCATACATTACTGTCACTGAAGTCTCACAGTTCTGATTTTTCTGTCTAGAGGTTTTTCTATTTGGTTCACTTCTCTGACATTTGTACCATTTCCAGAGGGAGTAAGAATTCCGATGCGTCAGAGAAGGGATTTCTGTATGCACACTTAACTTCTAGTAAATATACTATTAAACAACTGCATCCGCTTTATCTATTGAGGTACTACAACATCAGAAATTCCAGTGGGAATTGAAGGGATCTCTGAATTCTTGCCGATACTTTATGCATTCAGCAGAGTGTTATTTTAATAGGAGACAACATTTATTACAGCTGTGGTGGCAGACACACACCTGTGATCTGAGACTGAGAATCCTGTGATGAGCGGGTTAAATTGCAGACAGGTATCTCCTCTGCCGGCCTACCACAGCTTGCAAAATGCAACTCAGTAGAAACGGAACTAGTCCTACAGTGACAATAGAGCTCCCTCGTGTGGGAAAGAGGAGCCAGGCGGCTCGGGCCGAAAAGCCCTTGAGCTGTCAGTTCGAACGGTTTCTTCAGCATGATCCCACACGAGAGAATCAGGGATTTTGCAAGAAGAAAACAAAAAATGGTAGCACATAAGCACAGTCTTTTTGAAGAGAACTAAAACATGATTTCTGATTAATCTGTGGCTGAAACTAAGAAACTATATTTTTGTAACACAAATCAGCACTCCATAGTAGAGTTCGACAAGGCCAGTAAATCTTGAGAAGTCCGATCCAGTTTAAATCATTCTATGAACACATAAAAATGGGAACTCCCCTTCTTAGAATTCAGAGAATGGCAGTTTCTCACTGTAAGAACAACTTTCTTGCCAAAAATACAAGAAACTCATCAACCATCTCCACTACCAAATGCAAATTCTGCTACAACTTCAACTTGCCAAACACTTCATTTTAACTCGCATACTCAGAGGATGAAACACAGAGAGGAGTTTATAGCATTCACTTGCTGGTGCATTATATTGTACTCCCTAGAATAATCTCTAACTATTGATGAAAACCTGAAAAGACACAGAGGGGAACAGATGTATTCATGAAGAATGCACTCTGGTTGTACCACAAGGAGCCGAGCCTGCACTGGGAACCAAGAGGATTCAGAATGATCTGACTCACATGACCCGTAAGAATATAAATAATAATATCCTAAGTGTCAAATAATCACTCAAAAGGCAGAAACAACATTATCAAAAATTAAAAGGAAAGGCTTTTATAGTAAGAAATGACGTTTGCCTGTCAGGTGACTTATTTCTTTAACGGCTTTTGTTCCATTACGAGTTGTTTTGCTCAAAGAGATATGCATACTTTTTTAAACAGGAATTTATTAACTCCTTAGCTTCTACTTCTTAAGACAAGAAACAGCACAACATTAGTAAGTCTATCAGGAAATTGATTATTACAATTGTTCTTTAACTTTGCTTCAGACTGCCGCCAAATCTCACTTCAATTTCTCAGCTGCAAATTCCACAAGAAAGGTGGCACTGCAACTGTTGCCACAATCACTGCGAGGACTTCAACTGGTATCAAAATCATGGTTTAGCCCACCTGTGTTTAGAGTTAGTACAGTTGTTCTCACACTGTTTTCCAAAACATTAAGGCTTCTTCAAAGCCAATGAAGTTGTTGATAGAACAAAGTAACATGCATAGATAAAACTTAAACAGATAGAAACATTTAAGAACTTGCAAATTTATGTTTATTTTTCCACCAGTTTCCTTTGTGCTTTTCTAAGCAATTCATCATTTCCAACATGATCCAAGATTCATTTTAGATGATCAGTTATTAATACTGAGTTCTTTGCAGTGAAAGTCTCAGTGTGGCTAAAAAACACCCCACAAAACCAATCAACCAACAACAAAAACCAGAAAACCCTGTCAACCAAAAAAACCCTAGTCTCAAAGCATCCATCATAGATCAGATGGGGTCAGACCATTGTCAAGTGACAGTTAATGACTAACAGAATATTGCACTTGTACGTAAAGTTTTTGGAGTTTCAGAAGATACAAACCAGTAATGGCATCAAGCAATGTACTGAATAACTAGCAACAACTGTCCCAGTTGATTTGCCAAGCAACATGATTCCACTGCTGAAGAGACTGCATCTCTGACTTTGTACAATAATTGAGCTCAGCAATGAAAGAAACACTTAGGAGATATATTTTTTTGGGGGGTGAAAAACCTGGAGTCCTGATCTTTTCTTAGATTTGTTACAGAGTCATTTTGCAGCTGTAAACGCTAACATGTCTGCACTGTAGCCTAGACAACATGATTTGCTGCAGTAGTGAACCATCTTTTCTACTCTTATTCAAACTCAGTAAACATGAAGACCATGGCTAGGCTGCCCACTCAGTGCGGCACGTGGTACAAATCGAGTGTATATTTGTCATCCTCGTGAAACAGATTTAGGAGATGAACAAATACATAGAACATCAAAAGGTCAAAATATTACACATTGGGATAATAACTCCCTCCATACCCACACATATTCATTTTCTCCACCAAATGCTACATTTGCGTCTTTGCCAACAGAATTGGCACATTTTCCAAAGTAAAGATTGTCCAATAACAGAAGACACAGAGTTCCTCTATTCATCATATTCTATGAAGCTGCTCAAACTCATGTCATAAGAAAATAAAGGTAATAAAAAGGATGTTTAAGTCCTCTTTTCTCCACTTTTTCCTATCAAACAATTTAGGGGGAAAAATGGCAGAAAATCTAGAATATTTTCAGTTTGATGCATAGATTTATTAAGAAAAGTCTTTATTTTCTCAGCAGCTCAAATCTGCAAGGTTCTGTTATAATCAGTTTTCCAGATAATGTTGTTTCTGTAATGACTGAATGAATATCTTAAACTGTAACTTGTAACTGTCCATGGGTTTTTGTCCTTCTATTTAAAATTGTTGCAGTATGAAATTTAGAGCATTATAGAAGATGTTCCACTTTTTTTTTTTTATGCCAGCATAACATGTAATGCTGGATTTGAACCTTAGAAGTATGGAGTTATAAGCTGCTGACAGACGTTATAAGCTGCTGAGAGAAGTCTGTCTGTTGTCCCACTTTGATTCCTTCGTTAATTCTTGCATTTGAATGCTTATAGTAATTTTGAAGGACCATAAATTTGTACAGCTTAGTGCAAGCAAAAGATTTACAGCATCTCATTTATCTTTAGAGAAATATAACTAACTAGATACTCAGAACTAAATATTCAAATTCAGTGAGATGTTGGAAAAAATAGAGGGAAATAAAATGTGTGTCTCCCTTTCACTCCTATTGTACTTTTGCAGTTTAAACTTAATTATCATAAGCAATCATACTAACACAATTTCACAAATACTGGCCAAATATTTGTTATAGCAATTTTTGGCAACATTATTTGCCATTCAAATTTCTGGCAATGTCATTTATCAGCAGGT